AATGGGCTTATTCAGGACCTGGCCACTGCTGTAGTTCATCGGTTTATCTGCTACAATATCTCCAGAAAAAAGGAGGCGAACAAGGTCAGTGAGGTCGAGCTTTTTCTCTTATGGGCGATGAGAGCGGGAGTGCGAGTGTGTTCCATGACTTTCTTGCAGAACACCTTGCAAGAAATTGCGCTCAACCGGCGTGGAGCACCGGCCATTGGTCATTTCATTACGGCACTCGCCCTTCACTTCGGCGTCACCCCACAGCCTTACAAATTATTTGGTGAAATGGGGGTTCAGGACACGACTCAGATGCATTGTATTAACTTCGCGGAGCTGAAGCAGGCTGACCTAATCAAGAACCGGACTACAGCTCAGGAGTATACTCGGCGCCAGGCTTACAGTACTTACTTCAAAAGGCTTCAGCAGGATGCGCCTACCGCCGATCAGCCAGGGTCGTCTCGCCAACCGACAGGAGGCGACGAGCATGCACGGATGAACATCGATGACGACCATTCACTACCACCTCCTCCCGTGTGGACACCGGCCCCGGTTCTGCAGCCCGAAGCACCTCCACAGCAGCCACCGGGGTGGTGGACCGCCTTTCAGACACAGTACACAGCTGACATCCGCTCCATCCACGACCGCTTTGATGCCCAGGACGCCCGACTGGACGGTTTCGAGAGCCGTCAGGCCAACCAGTGGACTGGCTGGGAGACCCACCAGTAGACTCAGTGGGATCATTGGGAGACCCAGCAGCAGACCCACTGGACTCAGATGGACACGCGCTTCGATGGCTTCGGTGATAGCCTTCGGTCTATTCGAGAGCGGCAGGACCAGCAGGATGCTCGATTGGACAGCTGGGATCAGAGGTTCACCCAGTGGGGCACCCATTGGGGCTCGGGGCCCAGTCAACCTTTCCCACCACCGCCACCTCCGAACGCACAGTGACTTGTCACTGTGCTTAGTATGTTTTCTTTTCCCTTTTCTCTTTTATTTTTTGTATAGTTTGCTCTTTTCGTGTCGGTTAACTATATGGTCTACTCTCTTTCACTGCGAATCGACAATGGGGACATTGTCTGATTTTAAGTGTGGGGGAGTTTACGTGCTTGCGTGGCTATGTGGTAATCCATGTCTAGTTTTTCTTTTTAGGGTTGATTTCATTTCTTTCTCTTGTTGGTGGACCAATCTAGTTTAGGTTTATGTGTTTTTTGAGTTGGACATTGGTGAATATCAAGACTGGT